GGCGGAATTGCCCACAAGGATTACATTGCAGCCCTGTTTTACTGCTGCCGACTGCAGCGTGCTCACTTTGGACCACTTTCAAAAAATGCGGTCCTAATTAATCACATAAAACACAAAAAACATGGGAAAATATAGTCCAGGTTGAAAAATACTAAAGTTACCCTTGAATTTTGAGTGTGTGTATTCCAAATTCAGAGTGTCTAAAAATGCTACACCATCCTGAAGTTACCATGAATTATTTATAATCAATTTAGCTACAAAGCAGAACATTCATCACTAACTTGACATTTCTACCTATCTTCTGAATTTGTTTGTCTTTGAATCACGTCAAATACACGTATCCACAAGTGAAGCATTTCATATAGATGATGTTTCCCTATATCAAGAATAACGTGAGGCTAATTTTCAAAATGACTGAATGTAAAATATTTTATTATGGGAAGGCTGCTGCATGGAGTTGCTTTAGTCAGCCAATGTAAATGTACAAAAACACAACATTTATGCCTTCAAGTTCATAACCTTCCCAGTGAGTATTTGGCAGACAGGATTTGGTTAGTAACTTAATATAGACGACCTAACAAGGCTGAACTGAGACTGATGACTAAAATAAACCTTGAGATCCTGGATGTTTCAGTCATTATGCTCATGATTTTCCCTTCAGAGTCCAGGTTGAAATCAAGATGTTATCTTTGTCGTACTGCTGCCTGAGCTCTGGAGCAATTTAATCTATCCTATTAATATATCTATTTAATGTCATGTCTGCTGACAATGCTTTTGTTTTTAAGTCTCATCATATACCCCATTTTTGCTTACATGATAATGCTTTACCATTTAATGCTTTTTTTTTTTTGATAGCAGACAGAAAGACAGGAAACATTGTGTGAGAGAGAGAGAGAGAGAGAGAAAGAGAGATGACAGGTATGGCATGCAACAAAGGTCACTGGCAGGAACCATGAGGTTATATGGTATAAGTCTTAATCATTAGGCTTCCAGGACACCCTACTGGCCTTGTATGATATTTTTGTTATGATTTTCCTGTTGTATCCTTGAGGGCATAGCTTTTATGTACTGCTCTGAACCTTTGTGGCAAAGTTATTTTTATGGTACCTCATGTGCTTCCATTGTATTTTATTTCCCTTACTCTGGAAAGCATTCTTCTATTTAACACATTTATTGTAATAATATAATTAGTCGTTAATTTGTTGTTATAGTAATATAATAAGCCAAGTATCATTATTAGACTCCACTAATCAAACAAAAACTTTCAAGACATTGTGAAAATATGTTAAAGGAGTAGTCCACTGATTTAGAATTGGAATCCTTTTTCTTGTCAAAACCTGGCGCCTACAATACCCACAATGCAATTCAACTGCTGACAGTTTGATCAGGGAGATTCGGGTGTTGTTATGCTAGCAGCCGCTAATGTAGCCTCGAGCTGCTAGCCTATAGCAGAGATGATGAGCAAGCTCTGGTAAGCTCACTTTTTCTAACTCCAAGCCAACAGATTTATTTTATTTTCAAACTTGTCTTCTACCCAAATGAATGCTGACTTTAGTGACATCACTTGAGGTATGAAATTTCACGCAGCTCTCTCTGTAGCCCCAAAAGGCTTTATACAATGTTTTTCACATATGCATTTGTACACCCCAAGACCTGTAGTTAGGTTTTTATGTGTAAAATTGATGAAATTCCACAGTAAAAGTAGGTTTCTGGCTCAGGCTATGGACACCGTTCATGTTTTGGGAATATGAAGTGTTGCCTTAAAGTGATGGTAACACTTTGGCAGTAGAGCATCATTTCAACTACAGTATAAAAGTGCTGTATTAAAATTAAATGTACTGTAAAATAAAAGTATGATTTTTAATTTATGTAACAGGCAGACAACTGGATAGATGGTTTTTAGGGAGGTGTTCATGTGGAGACACCGAATTCACCATTAAATATATTCAACATCTGCAGTACATGCTACATATAAAACTTAAGAGCATTACTAAAAGAAATTAATCTTCTAATAGCTGTGGCACATTAATAGATAAGACTTTACATCTATGGTTTTATGGATTTGAGATTATCTGTCTTTAGTTTGCAAACAGGAGCAGATGACAGGCTGGCAGAGGGATGGAGCGAGATGTTAAACAGAGGTGACAATCTCTGAGGAGGGTGGAGTATTTGCCACCAAGATGCTCAGATGCTTACACACACACACACACACACACACACACACACACACAACACACGCACACACACGAGTCAAATGCAGCAGAAATCTTGACAGCTTTCTTTTATGGCTATGGTGGGAGCTGTTAAGGCTGCCTGGCCAGTGTCGCCTTTAAGCTAAACTATGATCCTGAAAATACTGATGCTTACTTATTTGTTATTAACTCTACTAGAAACCATGTAGATCATCAATGACATGTTTAAAAAATTGCCAGTGTCTTGTACTACTACTAGCCACTCCTTCAGTACAACCCAAACTGTGAGAAGTGTTTGGCTCAGCAGAGAGCAAAGATTATAAACTTGAAGCGACTACACCCACAGCTCTACCAAACATGCTCAGAGAGCTCTGATTCTGTTTACACAGTGGAAGCTTAATGTTCAAGGGAACACACTCTGCATCGCATGTAATTGCTTGTGCTTCTCTCTCTTGACTTCAAAACAGGGTGCGCTGTAGTTCAAGGGTCAAAGGCTCGACTGTTGCCCAAATGCCCCCCAATTTCCTGTTTTGTCTGGCTCTGTGAGTGTAAAGGGATCTAAAATGTGATGGTCAGTTCTGCTGGAGCCAATGAGACAAAAGGCTCCACTTCAATTGATTGCTTTTCCGCTTTGTATCCCAGGTTGAAAGGTTTTTGTTCAGGTTCTAATGGGTTTAAGCGTTTTTTTTAGGTTATCGCATGCAAAGCTACACACAAAGCCTGGAAAATGGAATGCAGCCTCAACTCCCTTATTTCATCTTGTCAGGATGAACCCTTTTTTACTGCCATGGTAAACAAGAACCTCTCTCTTTTCCTTTCTCTCCATCTTAAATCAGCAGCCAAGACAGGGACTCTCACATGCAGCAAGTTATTTTAGGAGATACTTTTTTGTGCTGCACCTCAAAGTAGAAGCAGGGACAATTTTGTGTTATTAAGAAAAGGAAAAGTTTGCATATGAAAAAGCTTTGAGCAAAAACAATCACATGTCCTTTCTCCATCCACGAGGTAGATCTTTCAAAGTTGGGGAATTTCCTAGCAGACAACTGGATGAGATAAACACATGTAAAATCCCAATTTCCACATCTTCCCAGTAAACACACCAGCCAGAAAACACAAAGCACATATGTGAGTTTTGAGGGGGTGAGATTACGTGCAAGTGAGTGGCCCCAGTGCTAAATTACATTGCAACATGGTCCCTCTCAAAGCCCACATCTGGGAATGGCCCTGACAACTGGATGCCGTGCTGCTCTAATTTTGGTTACTTTGTTTATAACCCTATAATAGAGACAGTATAGGACCACAGGGCTGGAATGAAGGAGGGCAGGACACAAGCAAAGTAAAAGCAGTCATTTTGAAAAGACTTGTGGGAATGCAAAGTTAGGTAAAAAAGAGCTGTTTGAATTCCTGTGTATATTAGATTGAGGCAAACTTTGCGAATGCCTTGCTGTTTTGTTTGCTTTTAACAGGATTCACACCATTGCTGTGATTCCTCTTCAAACCTGAAGAATGCAGGTTGTAGCTTGTTGAGCTAGGTAAGCATACATGTAACAATAATGAGATATCTGGAATTATATTAGGAGCAGATCTGGGCTTTACTAGCCCACTCACTCTCTTTGGAGTCTGTGCATTAAAGTAATCACTGAATACATTTTGTCAACACTGGATAGACAGTATAAGTCACTTAGTAGACTTGATAATAAACAACATTTTCCCCTGAGGATAAGGCTCAACTCACCGGATGGAAACAGAAACATTGAATGTAGCTGTGCTGCAAGTGGTTGACATTTCTTCAGTATTTGGGGATTAAACTGTCATCTAGTCGTTGATTTGTCAGCTTTAATCTTAAATCTCTAATCTCAAATATGTGAGCAGGTTCAAGAGCCATTGAAAAAAAGAAAAGGGATGATGTCAGTTTTACAAGTTTTGCAGCCTGTAACGTTAAACCAATGTTGATTACTCAGTTAGTCAATCAACAAAATATTAATCAATAATTGATTATCCATTTAAGTCATTATCAAACAAAATAAAGTAAATATTTTGGGTTTGGATTTTGGGACTATTAGTTGGACAAGATAAGCTATTTGAAACAGAATTTATACCTCCAGTTTGAACGGTCATCGCCTTTACAGTACATCTGATGTTAACTTTTGATTGAGAAGGCTAAAATTCCACAATTCTCAATGACAATTACATTATAACCCTTATGGTAGAGAACCTTTCAGTTGGACCCAGCCATATATGTGTTTTTTTTCTTAAATAATTGCTCAGTATTAAGTCATGATTGAAGGCATAACATTAACTTTTTGACAACTGAAAAACAAAACCTTTTGAAACACAGAAGATCAACTCCGCAACTGGAGGAAGAATTTTTATTGCAAAAAGTTTACTGTCCTATTAAAACTTTATTACTATTCAGTTAATTTTATAAGACCTAATGTCTCACAAACAAAATCTCTCGGCTCTGTAATGAAGGCTCACCGATAGATTCTGTTAAATCAGAGACTTTTTTGAAAAATAAAAATAAAATAAAAATAAGACATGCCATGACACACAGAATAAATTCAGGGGCTATAATCTTGTCACTGTATCACAGGGCAGTTAGGGGAACATTTTATGGAAATCTGCAGGGGGCAGTGTGATGTGATTGTGCAACAGACTCTTAAATCTCTGCATGAGGACAAATGACATTTGGACCGTGACATACTCTAAATAGGGAAGATTCCATTTCATAATTTAGAGAAAATTGGATTACAGGAGAAAACATGGAAAACAAGATTCCACGGTATCAGATTTGGATTGACTTTATGTAATAACAAAATTTCTTCCTGAATAACTTATGAGTTCCTCCCATCTGTATATTAGATTCTGTGTATAAAAATACTGCTCTGTCTGCTCTGCAGCATTAGAATCTCTTCATCTGTCTGCGCTCTTGTCTTCTCTGCTTCTTTTCATTCACTTCCTCTGGTGCCGACGGGTTATCTGCCATAAACCAGGGGCCCAGAAAGTTCACCCACAGCAGGTGGAGGGCGCGGGCCGGGGCCTGACACACACAACAAAAGACAAGATTAAATTAAATTATAAGACATGAGGGGGGGGGCAAAAAGGAAAAGGAAATAACAGCTATCTCATAGAATTTATCAGGGTAGCTGGAAATAGAACATCTTCTAAAAAAGCTCTTACCAGCAGCCAAAGATACCAGAAATAAGAGGAGATTGTGCTGAGCACTTGTACTATGGCTGTGAGTAGGATGACGTCCTTCAGGTGCCTAAAACCAGAATGAACAGACAATAAATTAGAACTTAAAGTTACTGTGCACACAGCAGAAGAACTATGTACTCTTCAGCAAGGGTGTAGGTTTAGTTTCAGAAAATGAGGGACACATTTCAGTTTTTTTTAACCTGACAAAAAATTATATGACTGCTATTTATTTAAATACTTTTATATTAAGCAAAATATTATAATAGTCCAACAGGAGAAGTAGAATCATGACCAGAACTTCTTTATTATTAATGCACAAAATATAAAAATACAAAAACCTCACCAAAAGAATTATAATTTTAAACTAAGCACTGTATACCTCTAAACAACATAAATTATAAAAATTCAATTATTTATGAGAAGTAAGGCAAGCAATATTTTCAGCCCTGAGTAATGTCTGCAATGCATCCTGTCCCAAATATGCTCAATCAATAAGAGGTGTTAGCAAAGACTGACTGTAGCCTGATAAGTGAAACCCAGGGCAAAAAAAGTCCATCAAGCACAGCTCACGTCGTATCATTACCAGAAAAGAAAAGAAACATTTGAAAGCTGCCTTAATAATACATCTACTGTATGCACACTGAAAATGCATTTCTCTTTTCCTGACAGACCACCTTAAAAAAGGATTTCCAAGTTGTTTCATATAGTCATACATTGTTTTCATAGTGTATTGTTGTGAGAATGAGAAAAATGTGAAGAAAAGGACACTGGAAGCAACTGGTTCTGGTTCTTGGGGGGCCTTCAAAGATACTGTTCGTCTGTGCTTTAACTCTGATGGCCTGTGTTTTAAGACTGATAATTGTTGACTGCTTAGCTAAGACTGCAAAAGTACAAAGTTAGCGTAAGAAAGATGTGTTGTCTGATATAATGTTTTATATTTTAATGTGTCTCTGCAGTCTCTTATGTGTTGACCTTTGCTCGCCTTCAGAGACCTAGGGTTGTACATGATCATATTTCAGATTAGACGTTGATGTGCAGTAAAGAGGAAGTGAAAGTCCACTCTTTCTGCCAGCTCGACCCTTTAGCGAGGTCTCCCTGACAACAGATGTGTGTATCTCACGCACATGGGTGGAGGTGTGAAAAGAGGTATGAAAATAAGAGGATCAAGAGTTCATCTTTTAAATCTATATTATTTGAGTTTATAATATTCATTAATACATTTTAAAACTTGTTTTTTGAAATAACATATTTTATGTGTATCCCCTGATGATGTCTGAATAATTGTTTTGATCAGAAAAGAATGCACTATTTGCTAATGTGACATCAACAGTTGTGAAGAGACAAGCATCTTTTTCATTTTGTGACTATAGGAGCAGGGGAGGCTTTTCACTCCTTTTGAAGTCAAAAAGAGATGAGAAGAGTAGGATGAGTGTTGACATGAATTGATTTAATGTATTCTGCATTCCGAGTGGATTTTCATTTGTGCATGCATTTAAGATTATGAAAGAGAAGGGATGTTCATTTATTTTGTTTGAGAAGTGTGGCCTACTATATTTGGCCTTTATGTGTTAAACATTTAAAGGATTATACTAACATGAGTTATAGAGACCTGCATTATATGTTTTATTACCATATTTGGAAAATTGTTTGTGAACTGAGGTAAAGGGGGGTTGCAACCACTGGACAGACAGATCATCTACCTATAAAAGGAAAAGTAATGTAAAAACCAATCAATGTGATGATCCAGTCCTGATAGCCAATGATTATTTGAGAAAAGGGTGGGGTCCACTCTGTCTATTTCTTTATTTAAGTTGCTGACCCTAGAGCTCTGAGTGAACTTTTTGGGGCTTGTTGAAAATAAATAAGTTTGTCTTTGGGTGGACGCCTTAAGAAAACTAGAAAGAGTTTTTCGTCTCATTTTTGTCTTCGTGTTATTCCCCCTCTTCTAGACTGGCAAGTTAGTATTTACTTACTTTAACATCCACACTGCCTACATTAACACACCTCATTACCGATAACCAGCAAACTGGCCATTTAAGTAGCTCATTCCAGGTTATGTGTTCAGTACCCTACTCTCTGGAAGTGAGAGAGGAAGAGGCGTTGACTAGGGAACTTTTGAATCAGAAATTCAATACAGACGGTCAGGCCAGTACCTAGTGTTGAAACAATCTTGTTATCAGAGGTTGCCCTTTTTCCTAAGTGGTATCTGAATTCATAATGCGCTAAGGGCGCCCAGAGATGGTGACCTGAGAGAGCGGGATTCCTTGCGGAGGGCCACTTGTTGCTACAGTATGAAGACTAAATATGGAGCTTCTCTTCCAAATATATATGAATCCATTTGTACTTTGGGGGCTACTTACTCTGCCATTCCCTGCTCCATGTTTAAGTCTATTCCTCCGTCCAGGAGACTTCCATCCTCAGCAAACGCTGGCTTGGCCATGGCGGACATAGAGCGGTAGCTCCCGACATACACTGCTAGTGCAAACACAAGCAGCAGCTATGGGACGAACACAAGGTGGAGGAAGGGAGAGGTGTTACTAGAAATTAAATTAGAAAAGTGGATATTGAGATTTTAAATAATCTTGATTAAATACACTCACCCATGTCCAAAAGTTAGACGAATTGTAGAAAACCAAAAGATTTACAGCCCCATATATTGCCTGCGGAGGAAGAGCAGTATTGAAATGGGTTTGGAGGACCTGACAATATAGTAGAGCTGTAGTGATTACTCAATTAATCAATTGGTTGATCAACAGAAACATTTCTCTGCACCTATTTTGATAATCAATCAATCATTTCAGTGATTTTTCATACAAAAATTCCTAAAATGATCTGATTCCAGCTTCTCAAATGTGACAATTTGCAGTTTTTTTCTCTCTCATTCTGTGGGAAACACTATACAATGATTGGGATTCATGTTGATAAATATGAGTGGGTAGGGGGGTGAGTGTGAGCAAGCATTCTCAATGTGACAACACTTTCCATTAATATTCCAGCGTGTTGTCCACCTTTAGATGGCCTACATTAAAACAACACGGGGCGCAGTGTCAAAGATGCGTCCATCTTCTGAACATTGTAGTTTCATCACAGCAGGTCACATCAGTAACATCCGCCGTCGCATAATTATGCGTCGCCTAGAAAAGAGCAGTCAGATTCTCTTGGCCCCACGTTCATATTTTCCTAAGTTCCTATGAATTGTCCTTCACACCTTTCCTTGACCTCATGACGTTTTCCATCGAGGAGAAGGAAAGGTGGTTAGGAAAGTTGATTTTTTTGACTTTGTGTCCGAGATCACCCACTACTCACTATATAGAGGACTATAAAGTGAACTCACCATTTTGTAGTGCTGTCCGAATATATAGTGACAAATTATTATACCCTATAGTGATAATTATTATACCCTATATAGTCCACTCAATGTATCCCGAATGCATTTGGAAATGTAGTGTACAACCGATGGTCACTAACTAAGCTGTTCTTGAGTATGTTGAGTTTGAGTTTAATTGTGTTTTGAGTTAATTGTAAGTTGAGTTGGACCTCCCTCTTTGTTATGCACTTCAACAAGCTGGGAATAACAGCGCTCTATACGCAAATAAACACGAACATCATTTCTGTTTGCAAACACCAAATGTGTTGTTGTTTTTAACTTGAATTTGATAAATTTACTGTCAAATTACAAATAAAACAGGAATTAGGCTGGAGAAATGAGGGTTTCTAGGGGACAGGCCACACTGATTACTGTCTGAAAACACAACTTTATTAACTGACTTTGGAGACAAGGGATTACATTTCATAAAGAAAATATTTTCTGTTTTTCCCTTTTCTGAGTGATCATATCTCAGATCTATCTATCTATGTGTCCTTGATGCGTATTGGGCGCATTCACACCTGTACTTAGAGCTGTTCACTTGTGATCAGATCAATCAGGATGCAAGTTAATGCCAAGTGTCGGGGCCTGACACTCAAGCAACTTTCATCCAATAAGGTTAATAAACAGACATATCAGTGAACTAGTATAAACCTGATACCACTCATTAAACGACTGCCGTCTCCACCTCGCTGAGATTTAAACACTTTCTTCGACTGACACAAAACAAAAATAAGCATTGACGTTCTTACATTAGCTCCTAGGATGACTCTTGTGTAGAACTTCAGCGTCGCCTCGTTCTCCTCATAGATCTGCTTCTTTCCCTTTGTGCCAATTTTCCCTTTGGGCTGTCGGACAAAACACAGAGAGCTGTTTCAGCAACATCAGGCTGTTTTTCAACCAATCAATGCATTTAGACTAAATGCAGGTGCAAAACAGGCTTATCACACATGCCTTTCTTAGGGTAATGGTTTGGGTAGACCTTTCTTCTTTTTTTTACTCCACATACATAAAGAAAACTGTATATTAAACTGCACTGCTTTATTTACAACTTTTTGTATAGTTATTATGCTGTTTTTGCTCTGTGCTGTGTTTCTTTTGTTGTATTGCGTTTGTACCCCCTTGCAAAATGGTGTTATATAACTTACAATGAGTAATGTTTGATTAAGTTATTATAAAACAAAACTCAATTCGGAATTTCAATAAGAGGCCATGGAAGGCTAACTTAAATCACACCACATTTGAATAGATTTACAACTGATGTCAGAAAGTGACTAAACCTGCGTTTGATTATTCTTTTGACTTATTGTAACTGTGGTCTCACTGTAGCTGAGTCACTTCGCACAACAGTATCAGCTACAGTGACTTGCTTATTGCAGAAGTGATTAAGTCAGTTGTTCCTGTCTCAGTCTGTCACTGTTGCAGCTGCATGTGTCTGATTCCCTCACCGCCATTGGCTCTCAGACGCGGTGCCGTTGATCTCTTCCACTGCGTCTTCTTTGACATCGACCTGTGACCCACCGCCGCTTCTCTCCGTTATTATATTAGTGCATCAAAAAATAAACTCAGAAGTCTGCTTTCGGTGTAGTTTCTTGTAACACATCAGCATTTGAGATTTCTACAGGGAGTCAACATATCCGGCGCATGAAAATGCCGTCATCAACCGCCCTCGAAAACGGGCTCGTGGAATTTGGAGACAGGGTACCACCACCACCTGCTGGTCATCTTTTAAAAACAATAAATAGTCAAATTTAAAACGTTACCAGCGGACAAATTAAAAGGGATATACTCAATTACAGTCTGTACAATGACGCTGTCTTATTAATGCAAGATTAAATGTCAATTTGTAAATGCATCTGCCAGAGAAAAGAAAACATGAGTTCACAGATTCATCTGGTTCCCATCTTGCTGTTTTACCTATGTATAACTGAAATAGGGACCATGTTGGTGTATGTCTGTGGAGCTTCAGGAATTGCTAAAATACTGGACATAAGATTAAAACTGTGCATGAAAAACTCGTCTTTCTGCTGTCACCCCAATAAAGTGGATGTGAGTGTAGATTCGTTCACAATTAGCTAAAAAATTAGGAAACAGTTTATAGTCACACCATAGGTGTCATTTACACTGGGGACATTTTGAAATGGCTAATTTTGTCCCCATCACTTTTTGAAAGCATTTGTTCCTAAAAATACCTAGCACCAAGAAATGTTAACTAATAAATGAAAATACTTTGGCAAAGGTTTATTTGCACAATTAGAAAACATGCAAAGCCATTTAAATATTGAAGAAACAAATGTGCATTGTCCAAAAAAAAGTCACAGGCTGCTGATTACTGCATTATATTATGTTATATTTTTCTATTCATGAATTGTCATCTGCCAGCTGAATTTATTGCTTCTTTTTTTTTTATAAATGAAGACATTTCCGAAATTGGAGCAGAAATTGTCTCCATATTGCAGGAAATTAAGTGTTTAATGCACAAAATCTTCTGAGGCAGGACCCCCAAACCCATACTCAGCATTTCTGATTTCTTTAAAATAGTTTTAAAAAATCTTCTCATCTTGTTTTTGAGCATTGTCAGGTCTCGTTTATCATCATACTCCTAATCTGAGCCCTTATGTCCCCACCACTTTTCAACACAAAGTGACGCCCTTGAGACACACCCTTTTATACATTGTGACTGCTTACATTTAAGCAACACTTGTTCTTGCTGGAATATTACAGGGATATTTCTGAGATTTTTTATCAGTAGTGAAAATAGTTAAAGTATATTTAGTCAATAAATTACATATAGCTGCTGATTTTCTAAGTAGCCTATTTTGTACTTTATTTTTTAGGTACTTGTACTGTACTTGAGTATTTTTATTTCATACTACATTCTGCTTTTAATCCACTACATTTTGAGAGGGAAATATTGTAGTTTAAAGTTCTCCAAAGACAAACCTTTAAACTTCTCACAAGGGTTAAAAAATGTAGGTAAAATCAGTGGTGGACAGTAACTAAATATACTAGTATTTTCTATTCATGCCACTTTCTACTTCTACTACATCTCGTAAGGGAGATATTGTACTTTTTACTTCACTACATTTAGGCTATCTGACAGCTTTAGTTACTAGTTACTTCACAAAGTAATTTTTACACAAAACATATGAAGAATTTAAAAGTATAAATGTTTGTTATAAATAAAGCCACCCAACATTTCACTAATACAGCTGACACAATTATTAGACTGACATTGAAATTAACGGTCACCAACTTTCAAGGTTAAGACATTTTTCATGTAAAAAATTTCATAGTTCCACCTTCACAAATATTTTAACTTATTTGTAATTTTGAGCTTTGAAGTGTTAGTTAGACAAAGCAAGCTTTGTGAAGGTGTCACTTTGGACTCTGGGTAACTGTGATGGCATTTCTCACTGTTTTCAGAATTTCAAAAATTGATTAGTGGGGAAAATAATTGGCAGATTAATCCATAATGTAAATAATCATTAGCTGCACTCTGATAAACAGTTAAAGGAGCTCCAGCTCAACAATTACATACATAAACATACTAATAGTATTTTGACTCATGAAGTAATTTAAATTGAAGACTTCTACTTTTTTCGAGGAGCAATATTTAGCAATGGTATCTGAACTTTTACTCAAGTACAGGATTTGTGTACTTCGTCCACCACTGGATAAACATAATTACAGTAAAGCCCAAAAGATATTTTTTGTTTTGGTACTTAATTTGAGTAAGATATATGAGTAGTTCTTCCACCACTAATATTGTTTAAGCTCTGTTAAAGAAAATACATTATTCTAAACAGTCAATACTATCTGTTAATTACACTTTCTACAACATAGGCAAACAAATGCTAGGCGTTGCTGTTATAATTAGGCTAGGTAGCAGAATTTAGGGCGCCCTGTTCAGTTATTTCGAGAAGCCATTTCTGACCCTTCGCGGCCACCGTAGACTGAACAGCAGCACCACTTTCTAAATAACAACATGACGGTGGCTGCTTGTCTCAGTGAAACGCTTATCTTGGTATCGGTTAGCAAGCAACAACCTTCGGCTTGGTTCACAGCTAATCATATGATTGCACATTTAGGAAGCGAACCTCACAATTGAACTGACAGTTTATGCTACAAAATGGACTACTTGCTGCAGGTGAAAATAGGCGCTCTGATCGGTTTACTGCTTTTAACACTTCTTTTTGGATTTATCCCTGCTAAAGTGAGATGGTTCAGAGATACAAACGGCACAGGTTGGTAAACGTTAATATTTCATAAGCAGTTAATATAAGCAACTGTTAAGATTGGTATTGTTCATTAAGATATCCTGTGTTGTATTCATCTTCCTCACAGTGGCATAAAGTTGCCTCCAATCAGATAACGTTACACAGTGTGGATTATGGCGAACAATTTATACGTTTTACTTTGATTTTGGATTACTTGTGGCGGCATTACTTTGATGCCGAACCAAAAAAGGGAAGTTACTGATTCATTTGCAGTCTTCATTTCTATCTTACGCTGTGTTACATTTTGCAAATCAACAAGCAAACGTTAAATGGCCAGACGTTTTAATGAAGTTTCGTGGTCGCGCCTTAGATCAGCGGAAGCTACAAGGTCTTTTCACCGGCCAACTGAATCACATGCTTTAGCTGTAGATAGCCTAATGTTGATTAACAGCTATTGATTTTATCAACTGCAGCATAGAAACCATAAATTAAGTGATAACAGAGTTGTGGTAACGTGGTTAATAATAGAGCTGTCTTTCACCCATTGATCAAGTCAAGTCAAACAACCACCATTATGAGCAAAAGCAGATCCTTTCCCGGAAATGTAAAAAATGTTTCATTTTCTTAAAACATTTCCATATAGTTTGTAATGGTCTGCCAGTGTTTGCTAATTATTGCACCATTACGTTGTTACTCATTTATGTCAACCTGTATGGTTAAAGTGATAGTTTATCACTATCATTACTACAACAGCTCTGGGCTGGAGTCACCTGATAGGGATGAAGCCTGAAGCCTCTTAGCACATGGTCTCATTTAATTATGATGAACTCTGGCTTTCTTATATGGAAGTGAAAGTATAATTTCTCTCTATTACATATTAAATCTCTGCATGTGTGCTCTGCTGAGTCATATTGACTTCTGTTCTGTGCTTTCCTTGATGTGTCACATGATTTTCCAAAAATTATTCTAACTTTTGAAGGATTGACAGTGATTTATGTTGAAGTGCCATGTCTGAGATGTACCATTAATCCCACAGTTATACCCCAGGTGTACTCAATTTTGTTGCCAGCAGTTTAGACATTAATGGCTGTGTGATGTGTTATTTTGAGGGGACAACAAATTTACACTGTTAAACTAGCTGTACACTCACTACTTTATATTGTTTGCAAAGTGTAATCTCTTCAGTGTTGTCACATGAAAAGATTTAATCAAATATTTACAAAAATGTGAGAGGTTTACTCAGTTTTGTGAGATACTGAATACCTAGAAATGCACAAAATCAGACACATAACACATAATTGAGGCAAAAATTGGAAAATGTGCTTTGTTTACTCAGTAGTTTATGCCATTTTGTCTGCATTCATTTTACTATTGTGTGTATGTTGTGTATATTGAGACATGAGATGTTTAATCGTTACATTTTCAGAAACCCACCGCACAGTTCTGAGTCTGATCAGCTGTTTCGCCGGCGGGGTTTTCCTGGCAGCATGTCTCCTCGATATCATTCCAGATTATCTGTCAGACATCACCGCTGAGCTGAATTCCCGGAAGGTGGAGGTATGGCAGGTTCTGAATAAAATCTTACATATACTATATACATTATATACACACTTGGACTTTAACTAACAATTATTTTTAGCGCACATGTATCTGTCAATATTATTTTTGATAAATCTATTAATCATTTAGTCTGAAAAATGTCAGAATGTTGTGAAAAATGCAAATCTCAACTTCTCAGAGCCAAAATTGACCTCTTTAGTTTATTTGTTTTGTCCAACCAGCAGTCCAAAACTTCATAATGTTCAATTTACAATGATATAAAACAGAAAAAGCAGCAAATCCTCACATTTGAGAAGCTGGAACCAGAGAGTGTTTGGTATTTTTACTTTATAATTTACTTTAAATGATTAATAAAATGTCTAAATTGTTGATTAATTTTCTGTCAATCAATTAATCGGTTAATTTACTAAATCATACACACAATGTAGGGATTACATCTGTCCATGTATATTAAGCATACTTTAGGACTAAGTCAGCGGCATCTGCTTTTGCTGTTTTATTCTCTTAAAGACTAAGATAATGTTCAGCTGCATTTATTATTCAATAAAGGGATAGAATGAAAAGGTCTTAAATACTTAAATGCTAGAATAAAGTGAGAACAAGTGATCGATTGATTCCAGTTGCTTTTGACAAAGCACTTCTAGATATCTTGTCCTTGATGACTGTTGGCCGTTAAAGACAGAACTGTGCTGTTTACCTTCTCTGTTCCCTGAATCTTGACTTCATCGGAATGAGCCTGCAAACCGATTGATCTCTATGTCTGTCTCAAACAGACCAGTTTCCCACTTCCAGAGTTCATCATGGCAGCCGGTTTCTTCACGGTCCTCATACTGGAGAGGATTGTCCTGAACTGTCGGGAGATGGGAGTGGCTCAGGAGGAGAGGGCTCCCCTTATGCCGGACAACAGAAATGGACACGGGCATGGCCATGGAATAAGCCCTGATCTGGAGAGCAGCGGCCACCACGTCCATGTTGACTTTCAGGCTCACTCCCCATTTCGTTCCTTCATGCTCTTCCTCTCCCTCTCGCTCCACTCAGTTTTTGAGGGTCTTGCTATCGGCCTGCAGAACACGGACTCAAAGGTAAGACAGAAAGTTTTTCACCTGATGTTGAAGGTGTCCTTTTAAAGTTATTTAAGTTTAACTTATTGAAAGTTACTTCTCTGGTGCTTCTGGATTTATTACATGTCATGCACTTTATAAACATTCGTTTGAGAAAGGTGCTGTACAAATAAAGGTGGAATCACATTCACAGCACTCATATAGCCAAAGAAAGTAGGGTTTCAGTTTGCTGCTTCAGGACGCTTTCACAGGACTGGAAACTTGCTGTCATCTGACTCAGAACTGTCTTCCTAAACGGCCTAAACAGTCTCATTACTATCAATGTTCCCTCACAACTTTTTGTCTGCATATAATTTTGTGTTATGTGTGTGTACAGCTGGAAATTTATTTCACTATAAATAACAGTGAACTTTGTTAGTAGTAATTAGGGCTGGACGATATGGCCAAAAATGACACAATCACAATAAAAAGTTTCATAACTTTCAATATTGATAATTATCACAGTAAGTATAAAATCGTTATTTCTTTCGAGTTTAAAGGCTGATTTTTGTTCTTGAGGGAAAGTTGAAGAAACCTGATGGTTAATTGTGGTTTAAACTCTTCTTTATGGTCAACACTTGAAGCCAAACATGGATCACAGGAAGAACATTCAAAACAATTATAATAAAATCTTTGTCAGCAAATATGGTTGAGAAAAATTAAGTAAAAGCTTTTTTCAGTCCTTCTTCCTCAACAAAATAAACATCTTAGTAAAATAATTAAGTCCTAATTCATGTAAGATTCAAGTAACATTTATTATTATTGTCCAGCCCTAGTAGTTATCGATTCTTTTGCAATTGAGATCTCATTTTCAGGGGGACTTAAGTACATATAAATATTTGTAACTACATAATGGAAAATAATAATATATAATAAAACAGACATTACTCGGGTAAAACGACACCAGTATTTAAAAACGTAATCCTAAAAGGTGTACCGTGCTGTGGACCAAATGCAGGACATTTAGTTGACCCGAAATTTGAAAGGGGAGTCAGTTATAGAGTAACATAACACCTGCTGAAAATTTTTTTTGCTGAGAGTGTAGTGGTTTAATTGCTTACCTTGGGATGTAGAAGTTGGCTGGTACACATTCGCATTGCTGTCGGATGTGGTTTACAGGTGCGTCAGAGCATCCTGTGGACAGAAGTGTGACAAACGTGGAACTTCTCACCACAAGAGATCAGCGAAACACTGGTTTTCAGTTTGGTGTCAGTTAAACCACATCAGCCTGTGAGCTTGTGTTAATTGCCCATACAGTACAATGGGCTCCTTTTGAATGCATTGATTTATTCTAAACCCAGTTACCCACTTACTTTTATTAGTTAATCAGTTACCCACTGCAAGTGAATAGAATTTTTATTGC